TTATCAAACTATTTAATTTTTCGGTTAAAAAACATAAATAGTATTCAATTTTTTAATACGGCCGTCCGCTCCGACACCGCGTATAAATAAAGAAAGACGTTCGTTTCGATTCCCACTCACTTCGACTCCGTTACGTTATAATATCTCTAACATCTACGGTCACGTTGTACTTATTATGTTTGTAGGTTTTTATTTTCATCACGTTATACAGGCCAGAAATTTATCGATATATGTGTCTCAAATACCGTCGCTAAACCGCTCATATCTTGGAACGCGGCCCCAATGTAGCAATGAACTAAGAAACGAAACGTTTAATTCGATTTTTTTTTTTTCATTTTTATTTTCAAATTCTCGAATATTTTTCCGTTTGTCTAATCGGTTTTTTTTTTTATCCTATTTAATTAATTATTCTATTATGGTATTTTAAACGATTTCCGCTTTTTTCCGGCACATTTTTAATGTATTATAAAAAAATGGATAACGAATATTGAAAATACACACGCGTGTTATGTACCTGTAATATATATTTTTTTTACGATTTTTTATCTATACAAAATATAAAACAGAACGTGTTACTATATTAATTAATTGTATTTTTCAAAATATTGTATTTTACCGCATTTCAGTGCTTTTTCCAATACATTTTAAATGCCCTTTTTGGATTTCGGATTGAAGTTAATTTTGAAAACGAAAATTGAGGTACATACATATATTGTGTACACGTTTTAAATCATCGTACTTCAGGGACCTTGGCCTACTCACGCGCGGTACGCGGACGGGAAAATGACACGACACTACACCATCATAGACTCATCGTTGCATAGAGAATAATATTGAATAACAAAAGTAACAATTCATATTTATTTGTTTTCGTACACACTGTTATATACGATTTTTTACACGTCGTCGATGCGGTTAGCATCAATGGTACTCAAATGACGCGTTTGTCCGAGGTCCGTTAATTATTCTTCGGTCGTGGCATACCGAAATCAACGAGGAGGGGGAAAAAGTACCGACAATTTCATAATTATTTATTGCGTGCGTAATACAATATACGCGTTCGGAATAAACGGTTTTTTATTTTTTCCAATTCCCGTAATAATTATAGGTAAAAAACAAATAGTGGCCGGGAAATTCGAAGAGTGTGGGTCGTTCAACCATTGCAGTCTGCAAAAACGATTCTGAGTGGGGATCGGTAATCACATAAGGTTATATTATAAGTGTATACCGCGGAGCAGCTAGACGGTATTAGTCGCGTTGCGTCGCAGAATGTATTGGTTTTATGATGTTTATTTTATTATTGTTATTATTTTTTTTTATCTGTGAACAACTTTTTTACCAACAATTTTACTCCGATTTACAATTATAGCGCTTTTTCTGAAAGGAAATCTGACTGGGGTGGTATTTTTGGGAGATCGTTTTTTGATTTTTCCAGGAGTTTTCATAATTAATGGGAAAACCGTGAAAAAACGCAGGAAAAATGGGAAAATAGGTACAATTATACTAAGCAAATATATATGACATGTATATTGTTGACAAAGTAACACTATTAACCGAACTCCACGCAGAATCATTTTTCGTTAGAAATGATTAATCGTTGCGCACAGATTTCCATTGAATTTCCCTTCTTTCTTCCCAACTTCTCACCTGTAACAGTGGCCCACCCATGTGCGAAGTATGTCCGTTTTTTTTTCTTTTAGCCAAGGTGACCCGAAAATCGACAAAAATAAAACCAATGTATATTACCGACAAGGCCAGTTTTAAACTATTGAAAATCTGTAGAAAAACGGTTCGAATAAAGTACCGCCGTAGCCGGAAGATCCCGTCATTTTTATAGGTATGACGTGGACAGTATTCGGAAGGATTTTTACTGATCAAGAAAGTGTTTTTCGCGAAAAAAAACACAAGTTTTTTTAAAGTATAAAACCATCAGTTCTAAAATATTTTCAGACACATTGGAGAAATGGTTAAACCTGTATGTATAGTTTTCAATACAAGGAAATTAAAGCGTACTAAATGGTATAATATAATAATATTACTGAATGAATGCGTGATAAATTACTAAATAGCTTAAAATATTGAAAAAGCTAAACGGATTTTTTTTAAATATACGCTTCAAAACAGAACAAAACGTAGAATATGGGCTTGTGAATAAAAATTGTAAAATGTGTAAACGTACGCGCATTCGATATTTCGAATGCGCACACATCATGAAACACATTTCTATTGAAGAGCGGAAGCTATGTAATAGGGGAACTTAATAAAAAAAAAAAAAAAACCCACGCAAAACCGTAAACATCCTGACTCTGTTTACCATTGTTTATCGAGACGGCGCTTTTGAGACAAATATTTCGAATCGGTTCGATGACGACATCTCTTTAAATAATATTTCCTCCGTCTTTATCGAAATGCACAGCGAAAAACCTATAAAGAGTTCCGCGCGATCAACGGCTTTGATATTCCGTTTTCAACGGTATACTACACGAGGGGCAACAACTATTACCTCATAATTTTTATCGGGATTGCTGATTAACAGCTGCGCTACCCTAAGAGGAATTTTTAAAAAAAATATGTTCATAATTTTCTCGTTTTTTTTTCATAATACATGATCGCACGAATGAAATAAATTGCTAGCGGCTTTATTAAATTTGAACGTATGGCATAAAGATCAGTCGACGGATCACTATTTTTAAATTTATTTGCTATTTTTCCATACCTATAATTCTGACGGACAATAATTGACTAGGACCCGATTGACGATCCACCCCGACAAATGAAACGAGGGACACTTCATTAGACCACGAACGAATTAAACATTTTATGCGAAAGATGCTTATTGCTACCGAGTGGCGTTATTTGCGGGACGCAAAATTATGCGAATGCATCCCATGAATTTCTTTTATCACGTTTAGAATATGTAGATGCAGGCAATTTTACACGATTTTCAGGGCAATACAATCGTTGTTTGTAACGAATTTTACAAAAATGATTTCTTGTGGTTTTATCGCAATAGTTTACCGATAATTACATAGATATGAAATATTGTAGTCTAAATATCTTTATAGATTAGCATGGATTTCGTTATTACCCATATTTTTTTTTTATCAAATTTAATTTTATCACTACCAGAAGAAATAATAAGCATAGCGTAAATAACGTACCTATTTATAATATTATAACGGTCAACGGAATAGCAATTTTTTTAAATTTTTTTACCTATACACCGTATATGAACGTAGTTTGTGCAGTTTATGTTAACAGCGGTACTAATGGATATATCTACCCTTTGTTCATACCCAGTTCATTTACGTTTCTTTAAAATACTCGAGATGATATTGTACTGAACATGTACTGGGGTTTTTAGAATATTGTAGGTATTATCAACGATCGATATTATAATAACGTGTCATAATTGAAAAATGTATATTTTTTTTTCCTTTTATACGGAAACGTATTCGTTTTGTCCTTTGTGTTTTGTCGGTGCGCAATCAGAGCGAGCGGCTTTACCGGTGAACGTTCAATATCCGTTTTGCATCCCGCGAAAAAAAACACGCGAAACGACTCCCCTGCAGTCGCCGCTACCCCCGCGATTTTACATCGAACGACGCCTACGATTGTTATTAACTCAGGGCCCGGATTTATATGCTAACGCGTATGGTTTTTTTTTTTTTTTTTTTTTTTTTTTATTAAACGGTCCAAAAAGTAGATAGATAAGCTCGAAGTTTGAATTATTGTCAATGAAATATAAAGTTTTATTTTGCATAGTTTTGCATACATTACTATCTGTTGACATACATGTACCGCATATTCTCGTATATTACGATTTTTCATCGCGTATATACGGTTTTTAAACGCGTGATACGTAATATTTTGGTTGTATTTATATTAGTTTAAAAATGATTACAGATATAATAGAAATAATAGAAATAATTTTTGTTTTAATCCGAATTTGTTGTATGCATAATTTGTATTTAAAAAACAAAAAAACAACATAATTCGTGTATTAAATACCATTTTACAAATCGAGCATCTTTACCTACTTCAAAAATTAATAATAGAAATAATAAAAAACTAAAATCTATCGTGAGCTAATGGGGACGGGTGTTCAGCCACTGTTGTAGATTGAATATGGACGGGAATTTGATGTATATCTGTACACAACGATTAACTATTGGTAACGAAAAAACGATTCTGAACGGAGTTCGGATGATCAATAGGTCAACAATATATGTGTCATATAATGGTAAAATAATTGCATAATATATGCATTAATCATTTTCTTTAATATTTGTTTAATATTGTACGTATTTTCCCGTTTATTCCAAATTATTGGGGAAAACTTGTGGAAAAACCAAAAAACGATCACCCTAATAACCCCCCCCCCTCCAGTCAGATTTCGTTTCGGAAAGAGTGCTATCGCCGTAAATCGGAACGAAATCGCCGGTGGAAAAGTTGTCCGCAAAAAAGCAAACAAACATCTTTGTAAAACCAATACGTTTCTCGCGCCGCTCGAAATTTGGAACTAGAAATAAACGTTTGGTTTTGAAAATCGATTTTTTTCACTCGTACGTTTCATTTCAATCGATATGTTTCAACAAGACAGTGGATGGGCGTAAACGCATACTTTATACGTGGCGCACGTTTCTAAGGTTTTTAGAGCGTGTATTGTACACAGATCCCCGGGCCTGAACTGTTATAATATTGTTGTTATCGGTACGTCCGGCGATTTTTACCGGTTTTTACGGTATTTTCAACACCGCGACCCGGCTACTTACAACAACAACGAGATGATGATAATAATAATGATAATATTATAATGTTATGCGCGTATACGTTTTCGAGACGGAAAACCAGACGTCGTCGTCGTCCGGACCAATGGCGTTTTCCAGTCGACTGCGCGCGTCCCTCTACCGTCCCCCTACCACCCCACCACCCCCCCTTTCCCCATCACAAAGCGGTCGCCGAGGCCGCCGCCCGATCGGCCGTACGGTCGCCGGGCAATGCACCGAGAGCGAGAGCCGCCGCCGTTATGTACCGCAGCGGATGACGGCGACGATAATATTGTATTATACCGACGGCGGCGGCCGTACAATATACGGGTTATGAAATTTATACTCTCGGTGTACGGCGTTTTAGAAAGAGAACAAAAAAAAAAAAAAAAAAATAAAGAAACCGAAAACCCGAGAAGAATCCCGAGAAGAATGCTCAAACTCCCATGGTTTGTCAACAACCTCGCGATCAGGAACACTCCGGACGTCTCAGCAAACTCTGACGGCCGACCTAAGGCGAAAATTCATCTCCTCACATCGCATACAAAATATGTCAAGACGCTCCACACTAGAAATCCAATAACAAAAACTTCAGACCAATCGACTTCAAACAACATTAACACGACGAACTAACATTCCTACCTGAATCGCCCTATCTGCAAGAAGCCAAGCTTTACATACAGAGTATCAAAATCGAAGCAGTGAATGGCGTTTTAGATTCTGAGTGGAGCGAAGAAGCTATTGTGGTTTTATGAAGATGTTTTATTTTTTTCTTTTATCCGCGCGCAATTTTTCTAACAGAAATCACGTGCCGATATTTAAGTGTAGCACATTTTCAGAAGGGAAATCGGTTCGGGGAGGTATTTTAAGTAGGTCATTTTTCGATTTTCCCAAAATTTTTCGCGGCAAATGGGAAAAACGGCACAAACATTAAACAAATGTTATTAAAGAAAATATATATTGCCTATTTAATTATTTTACCATAATGTGACATATATATATTGTTGACAAAGCATCACTATCAACCGCACTCCGCTCAGAATCGTTTTTTCGTTAGCAATGGTTTATCGTTTCTTACAGGTACACATTAAATTACCTATAACAGTGGCTGCATGCACCCGTCTCTATTATCCTAGGACAGCTTTTTTTTTGCACTCTTGAGTCGCGATTTTCGTGTACGCGCCCGCGTTAATATTATTACGGACGTGTTGAAAATCACACGAGCACTTGTTCGCGCTTGACGCGACGTTTCCGTGTGTTTATAATTCTGTCGGAGGGGAAGAAGAAAAACGTCGTCGGTAAAACGCCCGCGAGCAACGGAAATCCGTCCACGCCGGAGTCGAATTTCTCCACCCCATAGGCACTCGCCCCTCACCCCCCTCCTGCTATTTCGTATCGTGTAGGTTTCAAATTATCGTCGTTTGCAGAGACCTCGGTACATAACGTAGTAGAAGTTAATTTACGGTATATCGATTTCGATATTTTATTACTTTAAAATAATTAGCGATAAAACTATGTAGGGACTCGATTTTTATATGCGCTTGAAATACACGTGGAAAAAAAACGATAGAAGGGCTTTAAAAGTCCTCCGCAACCCCTCTCCCATCTAAGGGGTCTGATTTATTTAATACACTAATATTGTCTAACACTACAAAAATGATTAACACGTTTAATTCTTTAAATACGACGCGCGTGAATTGTTCATTAGCGTTTTTTAGGCGATTTTTAGCGGATTTTACGTTCATATTATGTATGCCGGTCCTATACTTAACGATAATCGCCCCGCGATTAAATCGATTTTTCTCTCGTTTAATAACAACGTGTTTTTACACAATTCTAAATAGTGTCACAAATAACATCGACGATAAATATATTTATACGCGTATATTTTTTGTTTCTTATGTCATTGGTATCAACAAAGGTATCGATAATTGGTATCGGATTCAAAAATGGCAGTATTGCTCATATGATATGACTCATATCAAATACGTCGTGAAATAATAAATTATCGAATACAATGCGTATTATAATAATTGATACACAACGATAATACGCAACACATATAATAATACGCGTTACGCGTACGCTGTGCAACTATACTATCCTTCTATGACTACTGTTTTTGTAAAAAAATCAAACTAAATTTGAACGTAAAAATAGTAGTGGCGGTCACAATGGCGGACGCGATCTTGATACTAAAATGCTTATCGCGCGTGCAGCATTTCATTCGGATAAGGGGGAGTTTGTAGGCTCGATAAAAGCATAAAAAAAACCGCTCTCCTCCCGTAACAACACTCCAAAATTCGTGTAACAAAAATTAAACCCAATTTTTATCACTTCAGAGCGCCTGCAAAATGACACTTATGATTCCCGTGTACGAATTCGTTCGGTCCAAAGTGAGCCGTTTGAAGTAGTGTGCGGAAATAGCGGGAAAAATGGTAACTCGGAAGAAATGGCTAAAAATAAAGTGGATTTATCGATATTTGTTGCGAGTTTATTTTTTATTTTGCGAAAACTCCGTAGGGAATCCAGAAAAATGTTTAAAATTAATTATTGCCGCGAACGAAAAATCAGAATCTTTATAAGGTATACGGCGTGTAAAAACCGGAGCATTTTATTCACCGAAAAAATTATTTTCCGGAGAAAAAACATCTTCGTTACACTCGAAACCTAAAATGATTTATTAATATTTACAATAATATTATACAAAAAAAAAAATGATATAACACCCAAAGTTTTATAATAAAAAAATATTAACACGTAATAATATTATACACGCAGTGCATTTTTTAACTCTCATAATAATTTATCTCGCAAAAAATATACAGTGCGTTTCCTGCAGGTAGCACTAAATATTTCGGCCGGAAGACCTCGGATTTAAATTCCGTTCTTTTTCGAGAGGTGATGGATATTACCAAAGTACGTATTTTAGGATAAATTCAAATTTGTTGATCCTATCGGTACGGGCGTGCGCAATACAAATCATTTTCAGCTTCGAATAGTTTGCAACTTTAATCGATACAATTTGTCTAGTATCTTGAAAATGATCCGAGACATTCAAATTGGTTTGAAAAATTCCATTTTAAAACGTTATTTGACGATTATCATTAGGGGTAATTTCCCCCCCCCCCCAGTAAAACAGTAGTCGAATTATTTTAAACCCTATGAAAAATCCGTAGAAAAAAAATCGTCTATTTTAACAAACTTTAGGACGGCCGTACCTTCGGAGTGATTTGCGAGACGAAAAAAAAAAAAACATTATCGATCGATATCGATACCGAAAACACGACCGTCCGAATCCGCGGACGTGCGACTACCGCGATGTTCAACGCTCGGCGATCGGCCGGAACGCACACATTCGCGAAATTCACGTGCAACGTCCGGACGGTTTATCTCGCCGTATCGGCGGCCGCGGAAAACGCGGATGGTCTCGTCGCAATCGGACAGAGATTCCGGGACGGTCCCGTAAACGGTTTAACGTTAAACCGCAACAGTTGCCCGATAATCCGTGCGCGGTACGGCCCGCGCACGGAGCCGACCGCGACGTAAATGGGCCGACGAAAAGGAAAACGGCGGCGACACACGCGGGACCGACGGCCGGAGGCCACGCCGTCCGCGTACCGACGCAATCACACACGGCGGCGGTACCTAACCGTACCTCCGCCCGCGGCGTAAAAGTTCCCGCGCGTACGGTCGCGTGAGCTCTTCGGGGAAATCTCCCCGTCGGGTTTCCGTTGTACGTTTCGGATCCGCGTCCCTCGCCGTCGCGTACGGTCCCCGGATTTTATACGCGTTCACCTACTCATACGACGCCGCCGCCGCCGCCGTACCGTTGTTGTGTAGGCGTCACTCGCGTCGAAAACCGGCCGCGAGGTGCGAAATGTTAACCGGATTAATGATATTACGGCCGCCGTCGTCTCGGCTTTTAAATAATGCACCCCGTATTAATATTATATACCATACGGTGCGCGGTTTGTGAAATATCTACCGGGAGCCCTTTAATGCCCGATCCCGCGCCGCGCACAGAATTAGTTTCTTTAACCTGTGCGCAATACATTTTGCATAGACTAGACTTGCGGGACGCGACGTGATCGACGGATACCGGGTTAGAATGCCCCCCCCCCCCCCAAAAAAAAAAAAAAGCTGTCCCGGGAAAATGACGGACGATCGCGGCCGCTGTTGTAGGCGGAAAGTTGCGAAGGCGGAATATAGACGGGAATTTAATGTGTATCTGAAAGCAACGGTTAACCGTTGCCAACGGAAAAACTATTCTGAGCGGAGTTCAGTTGATATAGTGTTGCTTCGTCGACAATATATATATATATATGTCATAATATAGTCAAATAATTACATATTCAGTGTATATTTTCATGAACAATATTGGTTTTATATTTTACTTATTTTCCCGTTTTCCTAAGTTGTCCTCCCTAAAGCAGGTACCGCCCCAGTCAGATTTCCTTTCAGAAAAAGTGCTACATTTGTAAATCGAAGTAAGATTTTTGGTAGAAAAGTTGTTCTCGGATAAAAAAAAAAAAAAAACATCACTGTATAATGAATACATTCCTCGCTCCGAAAAAGTATGTCGGAAATGTATAAAAATATGAACGTACCGAAACGTAGTCACACAAAAAAAAAAAAAAAAAAAAAAAATAACGCTTATCTGTGGTAAATAGTAATTTTGGTCACGATTTATTTTAAATAAAGATATGATTTTTAATACAATGGGTAAACAGAAACAAAATAACTAAACGTTTATCGATTAATAACGACAATTTGATTAAATAGATTTTTTTTTTTCTTTTTTTGTTAATTTATTGGAAGTTGTTAGATTTTAATGTCCGATTTGTCCAAGTTTTAGACATTATTTTGTTGAAGTTCAACAAAGTTTCAACTAAGTTGAACGTATCAATCTATTTGACATCGATAAAATAAGATAATAACCAGATTGAGTTCCCTGCATAATATACTAATACAATGTAGACAATACCTTACATTTTGAGCACGTCGAAAACAATGAAATGTTTAAATTATAATTACCGAAATTATGTATTTTATTTCTCAACATATGGTTTGTGTTCTCTCTCCCGTATCACTCGTTTCCTATTACGGGGCGAGCTTCAGTTTTTTTTTTTTTTTTTTATAAAAGTACCTATTTCTATTAATTTGTATTTATGAAAATGAAAATTTTAATATTACAAAAATGTATCGAACGAGGTAGAAAGGTTTAAAAGTAAGAGTTGAACACGTATTAAACATTTTAGCGTTCCTGAAATCTTAATTGGGTACGTAAAATATGCTATTGCTTACAAAAAATTTAAGTGGAACGCGTTATCGAGCGTTATTTTTTGAGGAGTGGCTCTCCGTCGCTACGCATTCTCATTAAATTTAAGCGCTGAAAACCGCAGACAAACAAAACGTAAAGTAGGCCTACCGGTATACGCACAGCTATTATTATTATTATTTTTTTTTTTATAGTAGTTGCATGAAATAAATACAAATCGGTCCGTCTAAAAATAAATGAAATAATAAAAAACTTCTAGCCGTATAGAACACATGGTTAACACATTTAACCAAACATTCAATACCCTCAAATCCCAGAAATGTAATGTAAATAATTGCGCAAATCGTATTTTTATTGCGTATTGGCAAAAACAGGCCGAAGCCCCGGAAAAAACCGACGTAAATAAATTGATTTTAACGCAAAACATACAAGTGCTTACACTTAATCGATTTAAACAAAAATTAAACGTCGACAAAACGCCGCGGGCTCTCTTAGCGCGCATACGACGGGATAAACGAGGATAATCGCATAAATTATAATAATCGAAAGAGGAGAATAACGATATAGCATTAAGAGGGCGACGCGGTAAAATTCGCCGTCTCTGTCTATACAACGGGAAATGTAGCAAATTCGATGCGATTCAGTCGTATTAAAAAAATTTCGAAATCTATTGAGTCTAAAACAAAAATGATTTCGCCAAATTAAAGACGAAAACATTTACCGCGTTTTTAAAGATTTGAGATTTTTTTTCGATATATTCATTATACAATTGTTTGGCGAGAAAAAAAATGATGACTAAAACGGGCGGCCGGGCAGTCGACCAAATATGTTTAACGTTGATTGATATTGACTGTAGTTCAGAGATCAGATACGCCTTTAGTTTCGCGTATTATAATACTATTAATATGAGTATATCTACTTGCGGATACGATATATCCTATATTGTAATGTGGTTTTAATATACAGTTATAATGTACCTAGTGTTTTTGCCGTAATTATGTGTAGTTAACGTGTAAAAATCCACGTTTTGATCGGGCGAGTCCAAATTTTTTTTTTGTTTTATCTCAACTATGGAAAATGTCCATTGCGCCACTACACGTTTGAGCCACCGTCTGTCGGCACAACAATCGAATCGCTTGACAAAAAGAGCAGGGGAAATTGTTTAATCGCTAATAATTATTGTATTGTTATTACGTTTCTATCAATACAGGAGGGTTACGGAGACGTCGTCGGTCCGAACGAAGTGGCGACGAGAACAATAAATTAACGATTGAGTCGTTTCACTTGCCCGCGGTGTCGGAACGCCTAAGGACATACCTGAAAGGGGTCGACACACAAGTGGCCGCCACGAGAGATTTTGTTTTATTACACTTTATTATATCGATTGTGTTGAAGAGGGTTCACAAGGAACGGCCGTGCCGCCAGATCGTGTGAAAATGTTCCGATCGTAAAACGGCGTCCGCTCTCGAATAACGAATTTGCCCCCTCTATGTACACCGCGATATTTTTTCCTGAAATTCTAAATACCGAGCGCTCAACCGTAATATCGCGAATCATTTATGTACAGTGACGTATCGGTATAATAGGCGTACAAACGCTCAGAAGGCCCGTCGGGCAGCCGAGCAAATGCCGGGTGGTCTGGTTCATATGAGTGGCCCGACACGTTAACGATTAAATGTTATAGTACGCGTACGGTCCGTTTCTTTTCGACGTTCGCGATATTTACGATATTAAAACAGACATGTGAAATAATAATTTCGATTTTCAAAACAAAAACTATTGGGTTCATAACATTGTTGCGGATTCGCAAACGGGATGTGTAAAATTGTTTTCAATAATCGAATAATTCTTATCTGTACTTATCATCGCGTTCGTATTGCACGATCGGAATTGATTAAATATTTTACAACCGTGATAATATTCGAATAACTAGTAAACGTATTTTTTTGTGTATATACATATATATATAAATCGTTAAGACAATTTTATTTTTGTATTTTCGTGGAAAAGAATATTAATTT